TTGATTTAGTCCTAAATGGAGCTCAGGATCAGGTCCAAGAGGTGAATATAGCTGGACCGCTTGGTAATAGTGACCATGGTCACAACCCAATGGCCCTCTCCCTCAGGTCCCCTGGGGAGGAAGATCAGCATTGTATGTTGCTAACGCTGTTGCAAGCATCTCAAGGCATTTTGGGAAGGGTTAAAGGGTTAAAGTAGTGGAAAATCTCTTTGCAGATTGCGAGAGGCCAAAGGGGGAGGGAGGAAGAGAGCAGAGAACGGGTTAACTTGGCACTTCAGCTAGCTTAGTCTGAAGATAAGACGCTGGCCCCTGTCCAAGGTCACAGCGAGAAATCTGCAGCTGCATTAACATCTTACCCAACCCTAGCCAGCCATGAGAAAAGAAGAACTAAGCTGAGCAGGACTTCAAAGAGTGCAAAAACAAGCAAGACGGCGAAGGCGAATGGGGGGGGGGGGGAAGGCTGAGAAGGCCACAGAAAGCCGGTTTGGACTGGTACAAAGAGCACTAGGAACAGAGGTCCTTGAACGAAATACCCCCAAAAGAACCCAGGACTTAAAAACCCACCCGAGAGGCAAAGCAAGTCGAAGATCAACAGCGGACCCCGGAAGACCCGTGCACAGGACAAGAACTCCCGTCCACCCATCCCCCTCTTCTTCTTTCGTTACACCCAGGCTTGGCCAGCCTCGTGTAATGCGGGTGTGAGTATGAAAGTGGGTTAGGGCTTGGGGCACTAATGCTTTCTTCCTTCCTCTGAGTGACATAGGGAAACCCTCCACTCCAGCACTCGCCGCTGTTATTTTACTATTTTATTAATAAAGCTTTAAAATGTAGTCCCTTGGTGTGCTCTGCCATCTCCTCCTCTAAAGATCCTGTGGCCTCAGCCTGACCACCTGACGCCTCGGGCAGATTGGTAACATAAATCTGTCACAACCATAATATAATTAAATTTAATGTCTCTGTGGTGCGGAAAACACCACAGTGGTCCAACAGTGTAGAATTTAATTTCAGAAAGGGGGAGATGCACAAAAATGAGGAGGTCGGTTAAACAGAAATTAAGAGGTACAGTGCCAAAAGTAAAATCCCTGCAAGCTGCATGGAAACTTTTAAAAGACAAAAAGACACCATAATAGAGGCTCAACTTAAATGTATACCACGAACTAAATAACATAGTAAGAATACCAAAAAAGAGCCACCGTGGCTAAACAACAAAGTAAGAGAAGCAGTCAGAGGCAAAAAAGGCATCCTTTAAAAAGTGAAAGTTAAATCCTAGTGAGGAAAATAGAAAAGTGCATAAACTCTGGCAAATGAAGTGTAAAAATATAATTAGGAAGGCCAAAAAAGAATTTGAAGAACAGCTAGCCAAAGACTCAAAAAGTAATAGCAATTTTTTTTTAAGTACATCAGAAGCAGGAAACCTGCTAAACAACCAGTGGGGCCACTGGACAATCAAGATGCTAAAGGAGCACTCAAGGACAGTAAGGCCATTGTGGAGAAACTAAATGAATTCTTTGCATTGGTCTTCACAGTTGAGGATGTGAGGGAGATTCCCAAACCTGAGCCATTCTTTTTAGCTGATAAATGTGAGAAATTGTCCCAGATTGAGGTGTCATTAGAGGAGGTTTTGGAACAAACTGATAAACTAAACAATAATAAAGTCACCAGGACTAGATGGTATTCACTGAAGGAACTCAAACGTGAAACTGCAGAACTACTAACTGTAGTCTGTAACCTATCATTTAAATCAGCTTCTGTACCAAATGACTGGAGGATAGCTAATGTGACAGCAATTTTTAAAAAGGGCTCCAGAGATGACCCCAGCAATTACAGGCCAATAAGTACCGGGCAAACTGGTTGAAATTATAGTAAATAACAAAATTGTCAGACACATAGATGAACATAATTTGTTGGGGAAGAGTCAACATGGTTTTTGTAAAGGGAAATCCTAGTGGTGTCCCTAGCCTCTGTTTGCCAGAAGGGGATGGATCACTTGATGATTACCTGTTCTGTTCATTCCCCCCCTGGCATTGGTCACTGTCAGAAGACAGGATACTGGGCTAGATGGACCTATGGTCTGACCCAGTATGGCCGTTCTTATGTTCTTGGACAATACTAAATACAGAGTTCCCTCCTCTGGCCTGCACCAGCCATATTGGTCACTTCTTCACCTGCTTATCCCAGGGTCAGCATGAAACTTATCTCCTCCCACTCACGGCTATCATCTCAGACACTCTGCAAAACAGTGACTTTCACTCTGACATATGCATTTGTTGTCTACAAACTAGCTTTCTGTGACTCATTAAAAACCCACAATTACTTTTTTATACTTCTCCTAGTAAACACTCCTCTCTCTCTCTCTGAATGTACAATCAAGCCCAACTTCTGGATGAACCATATCTTATTATCATTACTCACCCTCCCACGTGTTCAAAGAAAAGAGCAACTATATATACCTGTTTCTCTTTTCCCCCCTTCAGACTGATCAGATTTGGACCCTTAAATTTATTTTAATTATTGATAAACACCAGCTGCTGTGAATCAGCTGTAACGGAGAACCGGAAGGATTTCTCTGAGTCCCATCAGAATGACATCTTTCTCTATTTGCTCCCAAATCACCACACACTTGGATGCTTTATTCAAGCTGTGAAGACTTATTCAAATGTAATTTGTGGGCAAGAAGGAAACAAATCACTGAGAAAAGATATTAGACATATCAGGACATCAGATTCCTGCTTTAGCAGGGCCCCCACTACCCCTTTTCTTCTGTTAGTTCTTGAAAATCATTTTCAAAAGCAGAACCAATGGGGATGTAACAGTGGGGATTGTTTGTAACCAAAATGTCAGTTTCAAGTTGTTCCTTATAACTTCATCACTTTTTGTTTTCTGATTTGCTTAGCTGTGTATGCTGGCTCAATCTTCGATATTAGCACCACTATCATGCTCTGCATATTAATATTATGAAAAACTTGCATTTTCTGCTAACTGTACCAATTTCTACTGAAAATAATTGCAAAATGAATAAGTTAAAAAAGTCCCATTTCTGGAAACATAAAATATTTCGCTTTAAAAAATCCACCATTTTCAAAAAAAATCCAGCACAAAATTCTGTTTTAAGAACCAATAGTGAAGGGGAAACAACAAATCTGGTCCAATTTTACAGGACTATTTTCTCCTGTTATTACTGGATAGTAATGAAACTATGAATCTAGATTGATTTTTTGAAGTGTCTGTTTAGCTTTTGCTTACTTAAGTTTAAAACTATAAATAAACCTGGGACAAGTCTCCTCACCCTCTGAGGGCAGGTCCTCAGTCAGTATAAATTCCCATAGCTCTATTGACTTCAGTTGATTCTGACCATTTACACCAGCTAAGGCTCTGCCTCGTGGTGTCTAACCTTTTCAAATCTTATTTCAAGAAGATTAAGGGGCCACAATCAATATTCTGCCCTGTTTGCTACCTTTACACTGCTCATATAGTGCAAAGGGAGCGGAAATCAGCACCACTAGAAAACAGGTCCCCTGTGGGGATTCCCTTGGCCTGGGGGAGTCCTGAGTAGGAGTAGCTCAGAGTGGGTGTACACTTCCCTCCTGACAACCTGTGGGGAGAAGAAGTGAATGGGATGCTCCACGTTCTGACTATCACCACCTAGTGTATTGGTCCCTAGAGAACTGTTGCCAGTTAGCACATAGTAAACATGGCCCAGACTGCTAAAATCTGAACTGGACCTGGGCCACTGAATCTGTCAGCTGTACCCATTTGTTGGCTCTCAGCAATCTTGGGCATCCGTGAGTAGAGATTCAGATTTGCCCTCCCTCCAATCTCCTTCAGCCCCAATTCTTCCCCCAACCTGAGGCTAGTGGTTGGAGAGCCTGAGAGACTGTTTACTGGGTCAACATTATTCACACATGGAATTCCTTTAGGGTTAAAAGGAGAATAATGCCACAGCCATATCAGATGTGAATGGAGAAGGAAGGCATGCTGAGGAGTCAGCACTCCCCCTCTTCTCCTCTACATAGCCTCCTGATGTGGGGCCCCTTTGCTTGAGAAAGAGAGAGAGAAGATCAGGGCACAAATAATCTTGCCAAATATAGAAGATACAACAACGATGCACATCTGTATCCACTGCCTGAAAAAATGTACATTTAGGTTTTAATCTCTTTTTAGTGAACCATAAAATAATTTTCAATGAAAAATCTGCTTAAGATTCTTCTAATGAACTCTCACAAGCGTTGCACTATTTACAGTGCACCTGAGATACCATCTCTTCCTGTTATCTGTCCAGGACCTCCCAAAACCTCCCAGGGTCTTGCATTCAAAATCTGTCACAAATTTACTCGACAGGTTCATAAACCTTACTTTGATAAACCTAAGCTTTGAGTTTGAAAGACAATTCTGAACCAGGCCAGTTTCATGTGATTATCCTTTTCTTTCTCATGAACATTTCTCACAGCTTTAGGGCCAAAGTCTAAGCTAGAGTAAATAAAGTATAGCTACACTACACTGAAATCAATAAAGATACACTGATTTGCACTAGCTGAGGATCTGGTCTCTAGTCTATATCCATTATAAATCTAATTGGCTGCTTGGCTAAAGAAATTTTCTCTTTTCTGGCAGCAAAACAACTTGGTCTGTTGAAACAGCTCAGAAATCACATTTCCGTATGGTATCTTATATGTTAAAGCACTCATATCTGACATTGGTGCTGATTGAATGTCAAAGGGTCTTTTTGTAATATAAATTACAGTTTTAGTTGCTATGGGCAGTTACCATGAATGCATGACTTCTGTACCCTTTATATAGCACTGGTTTCAAATCATTGCTGAAGTTTACAGAGCAAAAGTTATTTTGTTAAGTTCACTTTGGTTGGGCTAACATGTTTGTCTGGAAAGGAACTGAGGAGGAAATCGTTTGAACTAGTTTATAATTTTTACTACTGTAAAGTATGGACCTGAAAGTGAACTAAATCATTTCCATACCCCCTATTGATATCTCTCGACTCTTACCTGGACAAGGCAAGATGTTGCATTCCTGGTACTCCAGAGATGGGCCCAGACACGGAAGACCCCCATATTTGGGCTCAGGATTGTTGCAGACACGTTTGCGGTTGCGAATACCTCTGCTGCAGTCTCGACTGCACTGAGACCATGGAGTCCATGGTGACCAGGCTCCATTAATTGTATGAGCGGAGTATCGTCCAGAACGCAAGAAATCCCCGGACAGTCCTAAAGAATTAAGATTGAAAGCAGAACATGGGATTAAAGGCTATCACCCTGAAAACAAACATTTTGTCTTCATATTTAACCTTAATCTTTTAATAAATATTTTTGGTACTGTTCCAGATTTTATTTTTAATTGGCTACACAACCCTGTAATTCTATTTCACTACCTTACCTGACAGAAATCCCATAAACCCTCCTATGGTGTCTGCAGCTGCCATTAAATCACACTAGAAATGAACCAATAGTGATAACCCTGCTCAAATTTTAGAATCAAATAATAATTTAATGAATTTCCATGAAAAAGTCGTATCGTGAGGAAAAGTATTTTCCCCATTTAAAATTACACTTTTCAGATTCTTCTTCACTCAGCTGAAGTGCTAAAATACACTCGAGCATGGCAAGTGAACCATTCTCATACACAATGAGAATAGTGTGCTTCTTGGTTAAATCAGCCAACAGGAAAATGAAAACACATTTCAAACCTTTTCTAAACTTTTTTCCTTGTCTGTTATCTTTTAAAGTGAATTTAGTGCTAAGAAAAGGCGCCAGATTAAACGCTGCTGGAGTCTGAAGTCCACGATTTATTCACAGAAAAGGTACAGTGTAGGCAATGGGTGTGGAAGCTTGTTAACAGCAACACTGCAAAATATGCCTCAATCCCCACCTTGGAAGAACCACTTCTAAAGGTCATTTCAATGCCATTTTAGGGATAGATCCTGCCTGGGAAGGAACTCCCCAAAAAGTACTCAGCATAGCGCTTAACTTCTGATCCTGTGAGCTGTAGCAGAACTGCTCAGCGACTGTGTACATCTGCAATGTACGGCAGTGATATCAGCCTCTGACTATATTAGGGGAATTCTTCTGAAGTTTCCCAGCATTACTAACATGGTTCACCTCTATTAATATTAGCATCATTGGGAGCCCTACTGTAGATGGATCATTGGCTGCTGCCACTATTTTAAGTACCGGATTGATTAGAACTGCTCTGAGCAAGCTAGATTACACCGTGCTTAAAACAGCTGTAGGAGCTAGGAGCTTGTCTACACTAGGGCTCCCAATATTGCTAACGTAAGTGAAGGTGAACCATGCCATCAATACTGGGAATTTTTTGAAAAATGTTCCTAGAGTAGAATGACCCACATTCAGGCTGTAAACTCACTCTCTTTGGGAGAGTTAAATAGTTTTAAAGTAGTAACAAGTATGTTGAATCAACTAATAAAAATATATTATAAGAGTCACAACTGATATTGAGGAGATGTTGCCCTCTAATAATCTTAAACTCAAATCATACTAATACAAGTACCCTAAGCAAATGGAATGTAACAAGAACTACATTCACTGTGTCCAGCGGGCTTCACTCCAATCCAGGGCATCTTTGCCTGCAGTATGAAACCCCATCCACAGTGAATCGTTTGTTAGCTGAAACAGTTGTTTTGTACCAGTGGAAGCACAAACAGTTCAGTACATCCACAGTGGCCATGCTGAATTATGTTAAAAACACCTGCAATTTTGCCGTGTGTCTACACAAATTGCTCTGCTATACCAGTTATGAGGCAATGAACTCCTGGACATGATTAGCTAAAATAGTATTAAAAATACAGTACCTTTGTCCTGTCTCCACCACAGCTTCAAACATTACTAACACTGTTACACCTGCACTTTGATGCACTCTACTCAATACAATTACAATATTCCTAGTATAGATGGGGCCTTAGAGACTTTTATTTAGTACACAATAACAGTGGGCAATATTGAAATAAATGATGCAGTGACAGACAAATAGGTTTGTTTTTTCTTTATTTTGTGATGAGAAACTGTTCAACTCAGCTAGCTCAGCTGGTTAGAGAGTAATACTAAATCCCCAAAGCTGTGGAAAACTCCTCCCACTAGGCAATAGCTGAGAACTATTATTTCTCCCCATGAACTAGCTCCTATTGTGCAAAGATATTATCAGCAGATTTTATGAAACCTGATGTAGATTTGAATCCAGAATGGTAGAGAGCATAGGGAAACAGTGTGGAAGTTAAGAATGTTGCTTCAACTCCTAGCTCCATCAGTGACTTTCTTTAGGAGGTTGCCCAGCTGAGAAATGCCAGGTTTACACACATGATGAATGGGGCTTAGAAGAGGGTACCACAACCCTCTCCTCCCCCCGCCAAACACACTTCAACCCCTGAATTCCAAATGGTAGCACTTTAACCAAAGGGCTAACAGAGGCATAAATCATGGCAGAGATATTCTGATTTAGATTACATTGGTCAGTATTTCTCTAGATAAAATGTTGCAGCACTGTATCATTTTACAATAGCATTAGAATGAACTGGAGATCACTCTGAGGGGGGGAATTTTCAGTCTTTGGGGAAATGAGTGACCTTATTTCACATTTTTTCATTAACATATCAGATTTCTTGGAGTAATGCCAGAAAAATTCTTTAAGTGAAACCTCAGAGGTACCTTAGCGCCAAAACATAATAATGTACAAAAGAACTGTTTTAGGGGGAAGTCCTTGCAACAGCTAACATTACCATGTGTCTCATTCTTTCCAGGGTGTAAAAAGAATATGTTACAGTTAGCACTCTGTCTACAGTGTACAACAACTTATATGGGGATGGGATTCACAAAGGTATTTAGGTGTTCAACTCATTGATTCCAATGAGAGTCAGGTGCCTAAATCCCTTTGTGAATCTCATCCATAGCATTCACAGTCTTGATGAGCTTTCCCTTTAGACAAAGGTTACAAATTACAACAACTGACCATGTTACTTTGAATTCCAGACATACAGTATAATATAGAAATATAAGAAAATGAAATTAACTAGAGTGTAAATATTGGCCACTCCTGATTATTTCAATTCAGTTTCCTGCAAACAATAGGCATTATCTGTCTCCTTGTAAATGTGAAGATACTATTTTACAATGACATTATTAAGGGAGTGAAATTTTTCCACAATTCCAGCATATTCCTACTTTTTACACTCTGCATCTATGTGAGATGCATTAGATGCTGGCCACCCACGTGTGCCGTTATTGACATGAAGTCAAGTATCATGGGGTAGCCGTGTTAGTCTGTAGCTACAAAAACAACAAGGAGGCTGGTGGCACCTTAAAGACTAACAGATTTATTTGGGCATAAGCTTTCGTGGGTAAAAACCTCACTTCTTTGGAAGCATAGAGTGAAAGTTACAGATACAGGCATTATATACTGACACATGGAGAGCAGGGAGTTACTTCGCAAGTGGAGAACCAGTGTTGACAGGGCCAATTCAATCAGGGTGGATGTAGTCCACTCCCAATATTGGATGAGGAGGTGTCAATTCCAGGAGAGGAAAAGCTGCTTCTGTAATGAGCCAGCCACTCCCAGTACCTATTCAAGCCCAGATTAATGGTGTTAAATTTGCAAATGAATTTTAGTTCTGCTGTTTCTCTTTGAAGTCTGTTTCTGAAGTTTTTTTGTTCAATGATAGTGACTTTTAAAACTGTAATAGAATGACCAGGGACATTGAAGTGTTCACTTACTGGCTTATGTATGTTACCATTCCTGATGTCCAATTTGTGTCCATTTATTCTTTTGCAGAGGGACTGTCCGGTTTGGCCAATGTAGACAATGGATTGTGTGATGTGTCTTGGATGGAAGCTGGAGGCATGTAGGTACATATAGCGGTCAGTAGGTTTCCAATATAGGGTGCTATTTATGTGATCATCACTTATTTGCACTGTAGTGTCCAGGAAGTGGATCTCTTGTGTGGACTGGTCCAGGCTGAGGTTGATGGTGGGGTGGAAATTGTTGAAGTCCGGGTGGAATTCTTCAAGGGCCTCCTTTCCGTGGATCCATATGATGAAGATGTCACCAATGTAGCGCAAGTAGAGGAGGGGCACTAGGGGACGAGAGCTGAGGAAGCGTTGTTCTAAGTCAGCCATAAAAATGTTGGCATACTGTGGGGCCATGCGGGTACCCATAGTAGTGCCACTGACTTGAAGGTATAAGTTGTCCCCAAATCTGAAGTGGTTGTGGGTGAGGACAAAGTCACAAAGCTCAGCCACCAGGCGTGCTGTGGCCTCATCAGGGATACTGTTCCTGACAGCTTGTAGTCCATCCTCATGTGGAATATTGGTGTAAAGTGCTTCTACATCCATGGTGGCCAGGATGGTGTTTTCAGGAAGAACACCAATGCATTGTAGTTTCCTCAGGAAGTTGGTGGTGTCTCGAAGATAGCTGGGAGTGCAGGTAGCGTAGGGTCTGAGGAGAGAGTCCAAATAGCCAGATAATCCTGCTGTAAGAGTGCCGATGCCTGAGATGATGGGGCGTCCAGGGTTTTCGGGTTTATGGATCTTGGGTAGCAGATAGAATACCCCTGGTCGGGGTTCTGCAGGTGTGTCCATGTAGATTTGTTCCCGTACTGTAGCTGGGAATTTCTTGAGCAGATGGTGTAGTTTCTTTTGGTATTCCTCAGTGGGATCAGAGGATAGTGGCCTGTAGAATGTGGTCTTGAAGAGTTGCCTGGCAGCCTCCTGTTCATAATCCGACCTGTTCATTATGACTACAGCACCTCCTTTGTCAGCCCCTTTGATGATAATGTCAGAGTTGTTTCTGAGGCTGTGGATGGCATTGTGTTCTGTACAGCTGAGGTTATGGGACAAGTGATGTTGTTTGTCCACAATTTCAGCCTGTGCACGTCTGCGGAAGCACTCTATGTAGAGGTCCAGTCTGTCATTTGGACCGTCAGGAGGAGTCCACGCAGAGTTCTTCTTCTTGTAGTGTTGGTAGGAGGGTTCCTGTGGGTCAGTGCACTGTTCAGTGGTGCGTTGAAAATATTCCTTGAGTCGGAGACAACGAAAGTAGGCTTCCAGATCACCGCAGAACTGTATTATGTTCGTGGGGATGGTGGGACAAAAAGAGAGTCCCCGAGATAGGACAGACTCTTCTGCTGGGCTAAGTGTGTGGTTGGAAAGATTGACAATGTTGTTAGATGAGTTAAGGGTACCACTGTTGTAGCCCCCTGTGGCAGGTAGGAGTTTAGATAGCTTACTGCCATTTTTCTTCTGTAGAGAAGTGAAGTGTGCATTGTAAATGGCTTGTCTCATTTTTGTAAAGTCCAGCCACGTGGAAGTTTGTGTGGAAGTGTATGAGAGTTTCCAGTTCTGAGAGCTCATTCTT